TCAACTTTACAACAAACAATACCAATTTCATACACCCATATTTCACTGAACAGGATCAGTAGAGATTTCTTCATGAAAGCCTCTAAAAGGTAGAAGCAGGCTGTTTTAGCCTGTACACACTGAGTTGATGGCTTCCAGTGACCGTTGGACTTTGGAGTCAATTAACTCACTTTCTGTTGTTTTACACAGATCAGTCACAGGGCAGAGTGTTTCACCAGATCTCAACTTTACAACAAACAATACCAATTTCATACAGCCATATTTCACTGAACAACTCTCTTGCTTCTCAAGCCTAAGCGAGTGTGGAAAGCTCCTTTTGGACTTTATGAGCTAACAGCCACCTAATAAGTTCTAAATGGAGTTTTAATACCAAAATACAACTGTATGATGGGTGTGGGACGCTGATTTGAGCTGTTGTGATTTGGGGCCCCTATGTGGCCCCTGAAAGAAACTAGCTTGGGAAAGGCGGCAGAAGGTTGAGATTCAAGATTCTTGATGGTGTTGTCTCTGGGAGTCTTCGGGGTAAGTCTCAAGCCATTTGGAGCTCAACTCAGAGATTTCTACATGAAAGCCTCTAAAAGGTAGAAGCAGGCTGTTTAGCCTGTACACACTGAGTTGATGGCTTCCAGTGACCTGTTGGACTTTGGAGTCAAATTTAACTCACTTTCTGTTGTTTTACACAGATCAGTCACAGGAGAGTGTTTCACCAGATCTCACCTTTACAACAAAACAATACCATATTCATACAGCCATTTCACTGAACGGACTCATGTAGAGATTTCTACGTAAGCCTCTAAAAGGTAGAAGCACGATGTTGTAGCCTGTACACACTGATTTGATGGCTTCCAGTGACCTGTTGGACTTTGGAGTCAAATTTAACTCACTTTCTGTTGTTTTACACAGATCAGTCACGGACAGAGTGTTTCACCAGATTTCTTCTTTACAACAAGAAATCAATTTGATACACCCATATTTCACTGAACAGGACTCTCTTGCTTCTCAAGCCTAAGCGAGTGTGTAAAGCTCCTTTTGTGGACTTTATGAGCTAACAGCCACCTAATAAGTTAAATGGAGTTTTAATACCAAAATACAACTGTATGATGGGTGTGGGACGCTGATTTGAGCTGTTGTGATTTGGGGCCCCTATGTGGCCCCTGAAGAAACTAGCTTGGAAAGGCGGAAGAAGGTTGAGATTCAAGATTCTTGATGGTGTTTCTCTGTAAGTCCTCTGGGTAAGTCTCAAGCCATTTGGAGCTCAACTCAGAGATTTCTATATGAAAGTCTCTAAAAGTAGAAGCAGGCTGTTTTAGCCTGTACACACTGAGCTGATGGCTTCCAGTGACCTGTTGTACTTTGGAGTCAAATTTAACTCACTTTCTGTGTTGTTACACAAATCAGTCACAGGAAAGAGTGTTTTCACCAGATTTCTTCTTTACAACAAAAATGACCATTTTCATACACCCATATTGCCTGTACACACTGAGTTGATGGCTTCCAGTGACCTGTTGGACTTTGGAGTCAAATTTAACTCACTTTCTGTTTTTTACACAGATCAGTCACAGGAAAGAGTGTTTCACCAGATCTCACCTTTACAACAAACATACCATATTCATACAGCCATATTTCACTGAACGGACTCATGTAGAGATTTCTACGTAAGCCTCTAAAAGGTAAGCACGATGTTGTAGCCTGTACACACTGATTTGATGGCTTCCAGTGACCTGTTGACTTTGGAGTCAATTTAACTCACTTTCTGTTGTTTTACACTCAGTCACAGGACAGAGTGTTTCACCAGATTTCTCTCTTTACAACAAGAAATATCAATTTGATACACCCTATTTCACTGAACAGGACTCTCTTGCTTCTCAAGCCTAAGCGAGTGTGTAAAGCTCCTTTTGTGGACTTTATGAGCTAACAGCCACCTAATAAGTTCTAAATGGAGTTTTAATACCCAAATACAACTGTATGATGGGTGTGGGACGCTGATTTGAGCTGTTGTTTGGGGCCCCTATGTGGCCCCTGAAAGAAACTAGCTTGGGAAAGGCGGAAGAAGGTTGAGATTCAAGATTCTTGATGGTGTTTTCTCTGTAAGTCCTCTGGGTAAGTCTCAAGCCATTTGGAGCTCAACTCAGATTTCTATATGAAAGTCTCTAAAAGGTAGAAGCAGGCTGTTTTAGCCTGTACACACTGAGCTGATGGCTTCCAGTGACCTGTTGTACTTGGAGTCAAATTTAACTCACTTTCTGTTGTTTTACACAGATCAGTCACAGGGTAGAGTGTATCACCAGATTTCTTCTTTACAACAAAAATACCAATTTCATACAGCCATCACTGAACAGGACTCATGTAGAGATTACTACATGAAAGCCTCTAAAGGTAGAAGCAGGCTGTTTTAGCCTGTACACACTGAGTTGATGGCTTCCAGTGACCTGTTGTACTTTGGAGTCAAATTTAACTCACTTTCTGTTGTTTTACACAGATCAGTCACAGGTAGAGTGTATCACCAGATTTCTTCTTTACAACAAAAAATACCAATTTCATACAGCCATATTTCACTGAACAGGACTCAGTAGAGATTACTACATGAAAGCCTCTAAAAGGTAGAAGCAGGCTGTTTTAGCCTGTACACACTGATTGATGTGCTTCCAGTGACCTGTTGGACTTTGGAGTCAAATTTACTCACTTTCTGTTGTTTTACACAGATCAACAGGGCAGAGTGTTTCACCAGATTTCTTCTTTACAACAAGAAATAATTTGATACACCCATATTCACTGAACAGGACCTCTTGCTTCTCAAGCCTAGCGAGTGTGTAAGATCCTTTGTGGACTTTATGAGCTAACAGCCACCTAATAAGTTTTAAATGGAGTTTTAATAGCAAAATACAACTGTAGATGGGTGTGGGACGCTGATTTGAGCTGTTGTGATTTGGGGCCCCTATGTGGCCCTGAAAGAAACTAGCTTGGGAAAGGCGGCAGAAGGTTGAGATTCAGATTCTTCATGGTGTTGTCTCTGTGAGTCTTCTGGGTAAGATTGAAGCCATTTGGAGCTCAACTCAGAGATTTCTACATGAAGCCTCTAAAAGGTAGAAGCAGGCTGTTTTAGCCTGTACACACTGAGTTGATGGCTTCCAGTGACCTGTTGGACTTTGGAGTCAAATTTAACTCACTTTCTGTTGTTTTACACCAGATCAGTCACAGGAAAGAGTGTTTCACAGATCACCTTTACAACACAACCTACCATTTTCATACAGCCTATTTCACTGAACAGGACTCATGTAGAGATTTCTACATGAAAGCCTCTAAAAGTAGAAGCAGGCTGTTTTAGCCTGTACACACTGAGTTGATGGCTTCCAGTGACCTGAACAGGACTCTCTTGCTTCTCAAGCCGAAGCGAGTGTGTAAAGCTCCTTTTGTGGACTTTATGAGCTAACAGCCACCTAATAAGTTCTAAATGGAGTTTTAATACCAAAATACAACTGTATGATGGGTGTGGGACGCTGATTTGAGCGGTTGTGATTTGGGGCACCTGAAAGAACTAGCTTGGGAAAGGCAGCAGAAGGTTGAGATTCAAGATTCTTGATGGTCTTGTCTCTGTGAGTCTTCTGGGTACGTTTGAAGCCAAAAATTTGTAATAATAAAGTTGAATAAACAAATAAGGTAATTATAACAAAGTGAATAAGTAAGGCACTAATTAAAATATATACATTTATGTCTCCTTGTATAATTTAATTACTACCTACATTTATTTATTTACTTTATTTTTTTGTGTATTTAATTGGATGCTTATTTATTATTGAGCATTTATT